TAGGAACACTGTAGCTTCAGGCCTCAAGTTCCACCTCCTCAGAAAGGCCTCCCCTGGTCCACACTGAGTTTCTGTTCTGTTTCCCTCTGAATCTATCTCAGGCTGGTTTGTTTATTGCCTTTTCTACTGTTGAATATACTCCCCAGAAGTGGAGAACCTGGTCTGTCTAGCATCCCAGGAACACTGGCGATAATAAGCATTTGCTGAATGAAGGCATGTTTGAATGGCAGAAGGGAAACCCACAGAGGAAATTATAGCTGTCAGAGCCTGAGTACCTGCTGCATATCCAGCCGTGTGACAGGCACTTTCTACAATCATCTCATAGCAAATCCAGTTAGTTGTTTTATCAGTTATCTGCTGCTGCTTAACCAACTATCCCGAGTCTCAGCAGCCTAGGCCGACCTCCGTAATGACTTCGCTATCCCATGACTGGCAGTTGGACTGTTCTCAGATGGGCCCCTTCAGGTGTCTGTTGTCAGCTAAGGTCTTCTGAGGGTAGGTGGGGATGGCTGGTCCATGTTGCTCATCAACAAGTCAGGCACTATAGGCTAGTTCACAGAGGGAAGTCACAGTGTTGCAAGAGCATCGAGGGTCGAGCCCAAGTGCATAGCCTTTAAAGCTTCTGTTAACATTATGTTTGCTGATGTCCCGTGAACCAAAGCAGGTCACATGGCCAGGCCAGAATCAGAGTGGGAGAGTCAAAATTCAGTGTTGGTAGACAGAGTTGGTTAGCTATTTGTAATCTGCCAAAGGTACTGTTATTCCCAGTGGATATATGTGGGCATTAAGGCTCAAACAGCCATCACTACTTGCCCACATAATCAAATTTAGTACTATGACCCCAAAACGTACAGTTCCAAGCCGTGACCTGGCTAACTGCAGGAGGCTTCCTGTCTTAGCAGGACTCCTGGAGTAAGCCCTGCCTCGTCTAGCTCTGCCACAGTCATCCTGAGCCCTTTGCTCATCCTCCCGAGCAGAAAGCAGTGGTGAGCTCTGTGATGAATTGGAAAAAGCTTAGGACAGACAGGCAGGACTTCTGTCCTCTAGAGTTGTCTCCTGCATTGACTTACCTTGTGTTCTTGGCAAGACATACCTTCTCTCTGAAGCTTAGCTCTTTCAACATAAAAATGGTATAGTTACATTAAAAAAAAAAAAAAAACTTTTAAGACTTCTCCCAAACTGACAGCTTTGTAGTTTTAGAGCTAACTGATCTTTGTTTCTTGAAATGCCTTCCATTGGCCCAGGCCTGGCTGTGCTGGTCTCCATCTTGGAGACAAAGAAAGATGTAACACACAGATTAACATCATTAGAAACTGCACAGGGATGGATGCCCCTTAAGGAACAGGTGTCAAGAAAGACAGCAATGAGAGGGGCTATAACCTTTGCAGCAGACCCCAAGAGAGGCTGAGGAGGCTGTTCAACTATAAAATGTCCCCCAGTAGCTCATATTCTCAGAGCACTTAGTCTCCAGCTGTTGATGCTGCTTTGAAAGGCTGTAGAAGCCTTAGGGAGTACAACCTTGTGAGAGGAAGTGGGTCACTGGAGGTTCTCCCTGCTTCCTGACTGTAGGTTCCATGCGACCAGATGCCTCATTCCCCAGCCACTTTGAAGTCCCCACCAGGGCAGGACTGTCTCAAACTGTGGGCCACAATAAGCCCTTCTCCCCTTATGTTGCTTCTTGCCAGGGATTTGCTCACAGTAGGGACAAAAGTAACAAATATGACATTCTTATTTGGGGAAGCAGGCAAGGAGGGGAAAAGGTTTAAGGGTGTTAGTCCTGAGCCAACAACTGTCTGGTGACTAGTGATTGGGATCCTGGACCTTGGGGGTCAAACAGACCTGGGCGTGAAGGCACCTCTACTTTACAGCTCCTTGGCTTGAAGAAAAGGTTGATAACAGCCGCCTTGTGGCTGGCACCTCACAAGCAGCAGGTAAAGGGAAGGGACCCATTATATTGTCACACTTATACCATCCTTGCCCTTGCTGGGAACCTCAGTCCATCAGAGTTGTACTGGTCCTAGCACAAAGAAGCAGAGAAGACGCTGCAGAGGTTGTGGGTGTTTGTCATCCTTCCGCCTTGCTTCCTCAGTCAGGTTCCAAGAAACAACACCTGGCACCATTTCTTGTAAAGCACAACTTATTTTTCACATCAACAGTACCACTCTCCAGAGAACCTTGGTACTTTGACTCTGTTTTCACTCCAGACTCTTCGGAGTGTGGAAGAAGGGCTATGCCAGATGGGCTTCGCTCCTTGCCTGAAAAATGCAGATTCAAAACCAAAGTCTGTGGAAGATCCCAGAGCCAGGCTACCTCCTCTGCCGTGAAACATGCCTCCTGCCTCCCACTCCCTCCAGGAGCTCTCTTTTTTTAAAAGAAATTTTTTTATTATTTTTATTTTACGTATATGGGTATATTGCTTACATGTGTGTAAGTGCACTTGTGTCGTGCAGTGCCCACAGAGCTCAGAAGAGGGTGTTGGATTCCCTAGAACTGGAGTTACAGACAGTTGTTACTGCCATGCAGGTGCTGGGAATTGAACTCAAGTGCCCTTAACCACTGAGCCATCTCTCCAGCTCCTCCAGGAGCTTTCTTCTAAAAAAAAAAAATTTTATTTATCATTTATATTTTATGTGTATGAGTGTTTTACCTGCATGTGTGTACATGTACCCGTCTCATACAATGCTCGCAGAGGTCAGAAGAGGCTGTTGGATCCCCTGGAACTGGAGCTAAGGATGGTTATTAGCCACCATATGTGTATTGAACCCAAGTCCTCCGTAAGAGCAGCTAGTGCTCTTTACTGCTGAGCCATCTCTCCAGCTCCTCTAGGGGCTCTCTTATCTACATAGGAGGAGCTACTCTGCTCTTTGCCCTCCAGGTCTCAAAGGATTGGTAGCTGTGGTTCTCTATGGAAATGCAGAGTCCATCCATTCCACAGAAGTGCAGGGGGGGGATCATTCTGAATCCCAGATCCTCAGAGTGCAGGAGAAAGCAGAGCCCTGCCATGCAAGACGATGGGGAGGTTGGGGGAGGTTATGCATCCTGTAGCTTATGTTACCTTTAGTGGTTTTTGTGGGATGTGATTAGCAGGTGGGACAGGAAGCATGAGAAAAAGAGGTGGGCATCTGGCGAGCATCGTCATCCTTCCCAGTGAAAGAGAAGGCAGATCAGGACAATACCAGCTCACAGAATCACTGGAAGGAAACTCTAGGACTCCATGGATAAAGCCTTTGTGAACAAACAGGTGTGCCTGTTTCCCTTTTGTTTAGAAGAACGGAAATGCCTAGAACCATCTTCTTGATAATTGTCCCAATAAAGTGGGCATTCTGACTGGGAGAATGCTGATTGCATAGGTTTCTGTAGCTGAGCATGTGGTCGGGGGACATCATTGAGATGGGTTTTGCTGTGTCTTAAGCACAGATTTTATATACTAGGCACTTCTGACGCCTTTGAAACAAAATCTTCCTGAATGCTTGTCAGACCTTGCAGTGGAGTCCCTGCCGGAAGGAACTGTTCTTCTTTCTGTCTCTGGACAACCTCTTTCAGTCTCTCCTCAGCCCTGCAAAGTTGTTTCTGGTTTGGGTTTGGGTTTAATTTTTTGTCTTGGTTTTGGTTTTTTTGAGACAGCATCTCACAACTATAGCCCAGGCTGGCCAGGAACTTGCTGTGTAATCCAGGCTAGCACCAAAGTCATCACAGTCCTCTTGCTTTAGCTTCCCCAGTGCAGGGTACAGGCATATGCCACCATGCACAGCTTAGCCTTGCAAAGTTGGTCATGGCCATGGGGCAGTAAACACTGAAAACAGGACAGCACCACCCCAGGTTTCCAGTGTCCCCACACTTTTCTTTTCTCCTTGCCAACACCTAGCTTTATTTTTTCCTCATTCATTCTAAGGCCTCATCAATGTGCCTGTCTACACATGTCTGGTCAAAGAGTTCACATATTAAAACCCCAGTTCCTTCAACAGGAGTTCAGAAGTACTGGGAGAATTCTGGAAGGTTCCTGACATATGGAATGTGCCTGTAATTGTAGTTGTTATTTCTCTATTTTAATGCTCCAGAGCCAGAGCCTCTGTGGGTGGTCAGTGCTTTAAGAGGGTAGTAGACCTCTTTTACACCTTTGCTGAGAGAGAACAGTGTGGACTAGAAGGGGATTGGCAGGTCCTATACCATAGTCACATATATAATCAGCCCACTCCTTTTGTATAATTTATCTTCTGTTGCTATAATAAAATACCTGAGGCTAAGTACATGTAGAGGAAAGAAATCTATTTATCTCACAGTTTTAGAGGCTATCAGTCCAAGACATGGTGGCAGCCCCGTCTGTTCAGACTCTGGCAAACTGAGTGTTTGTTGATGGGAACAGAAACATATATGAATATTGGGAACCAAAGGGCCTCCTTGACTGTCAAAACATGACAGAGAATCAGAAAGAGAAACAGCTGCCCAAGTACAGAAAAGGAAACCAGCACACCTGTCTCTTTTCAATGAAAGCTGCTGGAATTCAGAAGAAGGCAAAACCCCGTGGTGGGACACGAAGCCCACAGAGTTGCTTTTATTTTTTATAAGTCACTCTGGTGGGAATCAACTGACGATACAGGAGAACAACACTGATCCCTTCTAAGGGTAGCATCCCCGCAGTGACCAAACCACCTACAAGGCCCCATGCCAAACCTCCACACTGAGAACCAGCTTCCAACACTTAAGCCTTTGAAGGCTAGCACACCCAAACCATAGCACCCTTGAGGAGGAGTCTGAGGCTCAGAGTAGTTGTGACTTTAGATATCATATGTTCAGATGCAAGCAGAGAAAGGCTAGAACAACAAGCTGAGTGTTTTACATCTGTTTTATAGGCAAAGAACTGGGGATATTTAGTCAGAGATTTGGGTTTGCAGCTGGTTGACCAAGAGACGTTGGAGGCAGAGGTGGGAGATGAGATGGCCTGTTGATAATGCTCTAGACATGCACCTAGGTTGTAATGCCCAACTTCCTTTCTCTTCCAGACTCCAGATGCTGGAAGCCATCTGCAAGCACTGGGAGGGGCCCATCAGCCTGGCCCTCTATCTGTCTGATGCCGAGGCCCAGCAATTCCTCCGCTATGCCCAGGGCTCTGAGGTGCTCATGAGCCGCCACAACGTGGGTTACCATATCGTGTACAAGGAAGGCCAGTTCTACCCAGTGAACCTCCTGCGCAACGTGGCCATGAAGCACATCAGCACTCCCTACATGTTCCTGTCTGACATTGACTTCCTGCCCATGTATGGGCTCTATGAGTACCTCAGGTGAGGACCTGTGGGGATCCAGCCACTGCCTCCACTGCTCAGACTAGTAGGCACACGGGACCATGCAGTGCTAGACCTGAAGCCCTCAAGATTGTCATCTAGCCTGGCACTTACCTTTTATAAATGGGGCAGCTGAGACCCAGAGGGGAAGGGATCTGCCCAGAGATGGCACTTACACTTACAGGCTTGGAAGGTGTGTCTGAAAGTTATTGCCCTCATGAACAGACCAGAACCTGAGTTTGCATAACCACATATTAGTTTGGTCCAGAAAGCAATTCCTTTTGTCTCCTAGTGTAATGCTCTTTCTATTGCATCTATAAAAATATACTGTCCCTCTCCGAGTTTTGCAGCTGACAGCCTTCCTGAAACCATTCTCTGCCTTCTCTTTAAGACAAGCCTAAGTGATAATGATGCCTAACACGTGTTGAAGCACTTGCAGTGTTGGAGTTCCAAATTTGACAGCTAGGATCTCCCTCCCTCTCCTTCTCCCACAGCCCCTTCCGTGGGTCATATTGTCTTCATTTTCCAAATGGGAGACAGCAGGAATGAGCCTGGAAGCCACTGACTGGCCCAGCTCACACAGCTAATGCAGAGGGAGGGAGCTGGGTTCAGAACACACCCAGCCCCAGCACTGTGTGTCACCTTGATGCTCTTGCTGCAAATCTCCAATTTCTTTTCCCACGTCTTCCCTTGTAGCAGGGCAGAAAGCAGTGCAAGGCTGGATGGCTATGTGGGGAATGGCATTTATTACGACGCCATAAACAGTATGAATTGAAAGAGACTATAGAACTCGCATAGCCCAGAGGTCTCATCGTACACAGGAGAAAAGTAAAGTCACAAGGTATAAATGGTCCAACAACATCGTTAAAGGACATCTTTTCACCTGTCATTTGCCAGCATGGGTTATCTGTGACCAAGCTAGTGTCTCTGAGAGGTGGTTTGCACATGCTATCCTGTTAGGATGCACGTACCAAGCCTCAATAGCATATGGGGCTGTGCCATCTTACATCAGGGACCAGTAAGGCTCAGAGAAGCAAAATGACAGCCAGAGGGCTTGCCACAGAACCTGCAACAGCAATATTTCAACCAGTGCCTGGCTGCTTGGGTTTCTCATTGTCCCACACAGGCAGGGTCTGATCTCATCTCTAGAGATATCGTTGAAGATCTCTCTGTCTCTCTCTCTGTCTCTCTCATGTGTGTGTGCATGTGTGCCTCTTCCTTTCTCCCTCCCTTTCCCTTCTGTACTTTATACAGAGTAGGGGAGGCCACCGTATGGTCTGTGGGTTTCATCACAGAGTGTGTTTGGGGTGGCAGTGGCATTAATCCCTCCCAGGTGCACATGGAGGAATCCCAGCAGCCTCTCTGAGAACCATAGGGGGAACAGCTGCAGGCAGTATAACCATCAGTCTTGGAAGCAGGTAGAGCTGTGGTGCAGAGCATTGTGAACCAGAGCTCCTGACCCTACAGGTACCACATACACACACACACACACACACACAC